CTTTTGTAGGCACCGAGAACGTCCCGTGCAAGTTTAGTTAAAGGACGATCCCAAGCTAATGCTGCTGCTCAACAAGCTCTGATTGCTCATTGGCAAAGCATTGTAAAACGTCTAGACAACTACTTGAAGATGATGAAAGCAAACTATGTGAGTTTTGAAAATCATATAACTGAGTATGTGTGTGTGTGAGTGTGTGTGTATTCTAGCCTTCAATGTGATTGTTTTCTAATTGTTTTACCCTTCTAGGTTCCTCCATTCTTAGTTCGAAAGGTTTTTACTCAAATATTCTCATTTATCAACGTTCAACTTTTCAACAGGTAAAATTCCTATCCTTTATGTGCACCTTTATTTCCTGCCTTCACAACAATTTGTAATTGCAACCTCATTGGCACTTCATTTTCTGTCTGCTTTAACTTATTTAAACTTCAACTCTCAGTCTCCTTTTGCGACGCGAGTGCTGCTCATTCAGTAATGGGGAGTATGTAAAATCTGGGTTGGGTGAATTGGAACAATGGTGCTGCTATGCAACTGAAGAAGTGAGCATCACTAATGGCTTGATTATGTTCTGTGTACTCTTTTAAGTCAGTGTCTTACTTTTTTATGCCTTCAGTATGTAGGCTCAGCTTGGGATGAATTGAAGCATATCAGACAGGCAGTTGGGTTCCTTGTAAGGATTGGCCTCATTGTCCTTGAAATTTAATCAAATTTAATTTTCTTGAGTCTTGACCTTTAAATTTTATTCTCAATCTCCTGACAGGTAATACACCAGAAGCCCAAGAAGACCTTGCATGAAATTACAAATGAACTTTGTCCGGTAAGAAACTCTCCTTTTTCTTATTTTTCCTACCCTTCCCTGACTGTTGTGTTCTCTTTTGTTTGATTCCTACTTAATGAGTTTTCATGGTTCAACTATTTTAGGTGCTTAGCATGCAACAACTATATCGTATCAGTACAATGTATTGGGATGACAAATATGGTACGCATAGCGTTTCTTCTGAGGTAAGCCTAGTTCTTATTCTTTTTTCTCATGAGAAAATTGCATTTTTGGTCCCTAAGCTATAGTTAAATTTTGACTTAATCCTTCAGTTATGACCGTATCAAGTTTTTACCCCTGAGTTATGAGTGAAGTAGCGAGTTTGGTCCCCGACGTTAGGTTTCCGTCTCAACATGATGGAAAATCCAAAAACCTCATATTTTTGGAGGGATAAAGTAGGAAATTCACATCTTATTCTACTTATATCGAAACCACTTTCGTAGCATTATTTTTTACTCCTCAAGCTTTTATTTCAAGATTCTTCAACTCCAAAAACATTTCAAATTTCAGTAACCCTTGTTAGGAACTTGGGTGTTGTATAAGGAACTTGAGACTCACTACAAACAAGGGAACACTTCACTTAATCACTATCTTAGGCGTGTGAAACACACTATTCTAGAAGTTTCCGATTTTAAGCTTCGTTTTCTTAAAAAAAATAGGTCATATCAAATATGAGAGCTATGATGGCGGAGGACTCTAACAACGCTGTTAGCAGTTCCTTCCTGTTGGATGATGATTCAAGGTACGTAATTTGTTTGATAGTATAATTTGCACCTGTGATCATATATATTATACAGATGAGAGTCAGCTAAAACGTTATTTACGATTATGCAGCATCCCCTTTACTGTGGATGACATATCTAAAACAATGCAACAAGTAGACATTGCGGACATAGATCCTCCACCATTGATTCGTGAAAACTCAGGGTTCGTGTTCTTGCATCAACGCACAGGCTGACACAACTTAATTCCAAGCCCGGAGGAGGCCAGGGTTGATTCTACACATTATCAAGCCCATGATGATGTGCAGAAACATACCAAGTGTTCAAAGTCTTATGTTGGGCCCTTAGACAATTCAATTAGTTTTGGCATTCTGCACATCTTACATGCATGCAGAAACTTGTGCATATAATTTCCATACGTACGTAATGTATTCCTATTCTTTTAATTTTCTTCATTTTGTGATTATATATGTTGGACAACCGCAAGGGTGTGTTGTCCGGTTCAATTCATTTGTTTTTTCCTCTCATGGCTTTTCAACTTGAGAGGTATTTTCTAGAACCAACGCCCAATCAGGCTTGCTTTTGTACTTTGTAGTGTGGTCGGTCATATGTAGGCTACTTAGGAAGATGCATTATATTTGTTTTCATTAATTTGGTTGTAAAGTTAAGCATGGTCACCAATTTAAGGTGGCTATTGTTGTAGTAGTGTGTAAGGTGTTGGTTGTACTTTCACATTCATGTTTGAAGAAGGTGTTTACATATGGATTCTTTTCTACTCCGTATTTATTTCACAGCAGCCATAAAACTTCAAAGTTACTTTCCATATCTATTACATCAACACTTGGACATATTAGAGATGGACTCGAACAAATTGACTTGCTGGAGCGGAGCAAAACGGGTCCGGTTGGACTCGGGACCCTGGGGTTGAGTCCCGTGCTCAGCTTCAGCTGCCAAAACCAAGCTCATGGCTCAACCCCAGGCTGCCAAGCCCAAGCCTTGTGCTTGGCCATAGACATCAAGGCCAAGCCACATGCTTGGCCTGGACCTGTGCCTTGGTCCCCGGGTTGCCAAAGTCGGCCATGGCCTGGGCTTGGGCCACGGGAACCAAGGCCGAGCCTCGGATTCGGTCAACTTAGTCAAGTTTGTTATAACTAATTCTCCCTTTTTCGTGGGGGCAGTTAAGTGATGGACTTATATTAGTATAATAGGAGTGTAATTGTCTTGTTAAGACATCCTGAATTCACTTGTAATATTGTTACATTGCTCCTAAATACAATATCCTTATCTTTTCAATATCATTTTTGTCTTTTTCAATAGCATTATTGTCTTTTACCATTATCTTTTATCCACTTATATATCCTTTAATTATTGTATTTGTTAATTTGGACTACTCTGTTTAATTAAATTCATCATTGGTGTTTTCATCGAGAGCTTGACATACAAGTTTGAGCGTGCTACTTATTAGCTATAGCAAGATCGAGATCCAACTCTTGAAATTTGCATGATTCACGCAACATTCGTGTCTCCCCAAGTGGAAACGACCTCAATGGGACTGCATGAAATGTATTGACTTTGATGAGATTTTCTTCTCCTGTTGTGAAATTTTCATCCATCAGAGTTGTGTTGGGTCTAGCAGCCTGTTTGGATTTAGAAATTGAGCATATGGATGTGAAAATAACTTTTCTCCATGGTGATTTAGATGATGATATATATATATGGAATAACCTCAGTGTTTCAAAGTTAAAGGGAAGAAGGATTATGTCTGCTGATTGAAGAAGAGTTTGTATGGTTTGAAGCAAGCACCGATGCAGTGGTATAAAAGTTTACTTCTGTTATGAGCAAGCATGGATACAAGAAGACTTCTTCAGACCACTATGTTTTTATAAACAGATACTCTGATGATGACTTTGTTATGTTGTTGCTTTATGTTGATGATAAGTTGATTGTTGATCGTTATGCTTCAAGAATTCAAAAGTTGAAACAAGAGTTGAGTAAGTCTTTTTCTATGAAGGACATGGGACTAACAAAACAAATTCTTGGGATGAAAATCATTTGTGACAGGCAGAACAAGAAGCTGTGGTTATCTCAAGAGAAATATATAGAGAAAGTGTTTGAGATGCATCTCTTTACATGCATTTCAAGTTGAGCAAGAAGCAATGTGCTTCTAGTGAGAAAGAGAAGGAAGAAATGCAACGAGTTCCTTATTCTTCAGCTGTTAGTAGTTTGATGTATGCCATGGTATGCACGAGACCAGATATTGCTCATGGAGTGAGTGTTGTTAGCAAATTTTTCTCAAATCTAGGGAGAGAACATTGTGATGTTGTGAAGTGGATTCTGAAAAGTCTTCGGGGTACTTCAAGTCTGAGTTTATGTTTTTCGGTAACAGAAACCTATTCTTATCTGGTACACTGATTCAGATATGGCCGGAGATATTGACACCATGAAATCTACCTTAGGTTATCTGATTACCTATGTAGGGGAGCATCTTTATGGTAATCAAGGTTGCAAAAGTGTGTTGCTTTGTCAACCAGTGAAGCTGAGTTCATAGCATCTGTTGAGGCCAGTCAAGAAATGCTATGGATGAAGAAGTTTGTTCAGGAGCTAGGGTTTGTTTAAGATAGGTATGTGCTCTACTATGATAGTCAGATTGCAGTTCATCTTGCAAAGAACTCCACATCTCATTATAGGTCAAAACATATTGACACACGATATCATTGGATAAGAGATATCTTGAAGTGCAAGATGCTTGAACTTTAAAAGATTCATGCTGATGATAATGGGTTAGACATGATGACCAAAGCGTTGCCAAGAGGGAAGTTTGAGGTTTGTTGCTCTATCGCCGGGATGGCGATGTCTTTCACATAGTCGGGAGGGGGAGATTTGCTGGGTTGGACTTCCCTCCTATGTGGCTAGCCTACTTTTGGACCAAGCCCATTTATTATATGCATTGGGATTGTAAAACAAAAGAACTGACACTCACTGTCTCACATATTATTTTTATTATATTATCAAATGAAACTGTAATTGAATTGAAATGAAACTGTAGTTGTGTTGAAATGAAACTGCATTGTATACAAAATGAAACTGAATAACAATTTCACATATTCGAGTGTATATTGTCAAGCGAAACTGTAGTTATATCAAAATGATACTGTAGTTGTGTTGAAATGAAAATGCAGTGCATATTTGATGCCTGGACCACAATACATTATGGACCGCGGTCCACAGTATAATTTGCCAAAGAAGGGAAATCCATTTCAATCTGCGCCCACAATATTATCCCATTCTTTTCTTTTTTCCCTCTATCTTTGGTTCTGCTCATTTTTTCCCTTCTCAAGAGACTAACAACTATGTTTCTTTACATCTCTACCTTACTAGCCAGGTATAGGGATTCTTGCAAGAGGCATGGTGTTAACTAATCATGTTGTCATCTCAGAGCTATATAAGATTATTTTGCAGTGGGTTTACCAAGCTCTTGGGTGCAATCTTCATCAAATATTTTGAAGGTCGATTTTATTTATTCCATGCATCTTTTGGGTATTCTCATACTATTTGTATTCATTTTATCTTGTTCGTGGTAGTTGAATATTTTGAGTACGGGATATTATTCCTTTTAGCTTGTGAATGTGATAGAATGTCTGGCATAGAGTTGATGTACTTGATGATTTATGGATGTATGACTCGTGTGATAGTCTGAAACTTTGTACCCGAGATTTTGTTATAGTGAAAACTTTGTTGTTGGTTGTCCCATGGTTTTTTCCCGGTTTGAGATTTTTCACGTAAATCGTGTGTCCCATGTGTTGATATTTAGTTTTGGGCTATTGTGTATTATTTCGTATATGTGCACCGTGTTGTTGTTGTGATTCTCATTGTCACAGGAAGTGGGATTTTCCCAACACAAATTGCTAGTCGCCCTATCCCAGAATTTTGGGAGATCCTACAACAAAAAAACTCGCAACTGGTTGACATGAAGGAGTTACATTGTCGTATGGGCGAGAGGGTACTCTCATCTGATTTTTCCCGAAGCAATGGGATGTTGTTCTATCGACATCACTATTAGTATTAGCCCTCATTCTTCTCTCAAATATGTCTTACTGTAAGAGTTTCATGCGTCAAAATTTTCAAGACACTCAGGGGCTAAACATACATTGGTACGACTAGCGGGGATGTTTTATTAGCCAAAAATGCATCAAGACGTTGAATCCTATGTCACATCTTGCCTCAACTGCCAACAAATCAAATACACAACCCAGCCACCAATGGGATTGCTACAACTTTTGCTAGTTCTAGATCGAGTTTGGGATGAGTTAACAATGGATTTTATTGTCGGCCTGCCGCCTTCTCACAGATTCATTGTTGATAAACTCACTAAATATGCATACTTTGGAACCCTTCCCACTCATTTTACGGCCATGAAGACAGCTCAATTGTTTGTGGACATTGTTATTGAACACCATGGATTTCCAACCAGTATTGTGTTTGATCGGGACCAGATTTTTATGAGTACATTCTGGACAAAGATATTTGAATTAAGTGGAACACTTTAAGCATAGTTCGACATATTACCCCCAAACGGATGGTTAGTCGAAAGTGGTGAATAGAAGACGTGAGCAGTATCTCTGAGCTTTTGCCATGGATAGGCCGAAGACATGGGCATCACTATTGAGCTGGGCTGAATTTAGTTACAACTCTAGCTTCAATCTTAGTTTACAGATGAGACCCTTACAAGCTCTGTATGGAAGACTAAACTGTGGGACAGTCGTATTCTTTATTCGAATAAGAACATTCCATAAAACCGTGGGACAGTTGTATCACACCTCGACAAGGTAAAAAACAGAGAATTCAAGCAACAACCAAAATCCAGAAGGTAAATTATTATTTTTAATGAAATGTATATACGAAAATACCAGAATAATATACATCTCTTATACAAAAATATATATAGTCATTTCAAAAATATATACAAAATGTATATAATATATATAAATACATATCAGGACTATGTGGTCTAATGGTATCCAGGTTGGACTTTTATTTGCAAGGTTGTGAGTTCAAGCTCCAGTGGAGGCGTGTTATATATTTCAATACGCATAACATACGCCATACCAAATGTTAAAAATAGTCTTGCATACAGAACTCCAAAGAGCCATAAAGTCTAGGTATTATATAATTATATGAGTGCGATTGTTAAGATTGTCAAATATTACTTTAAGGAAAATTATATTTTTTATTACTAAGTTATAGGGTAATAGTAGAATTCGTCTCTAATTGTTGGTCATTCTCACTTTTTGTCCCTAAGATATACTTCGTAATTGATGTTGGTCATTCCTCTACTAACAAACATTAGGGACGAAATTTTCAATGTTAGTATAGTTTAGAAACGAAGATTGAACACAACCTGTTATTAAAATGATGAAATTTGCGATGTCAATTATAGTACTGACATAATTGATCAGCACACTTCATGGACCAACTGCTAAATAGTACTGACACCCACATACACTTTTTATCCTAAGGTCTCTACCCATTGGATAATAGTGTGTTTGAAATTTTGTCTTCCTCTCCAACGAAACAAAATTCACCCCTATAAATAGCTTACTCTCTCTAGGATGAGAATATACACAACAACAAGTCTGAAAATTATCTAGTTACAAGTTCCTCTAGTGCTAGAGAGAAGAAGTTCTATATTCTCAATCCTGATTTAGAAGAAGCTTGAGCTGCAACAACATCTCAATCCAGTTCACGCCAAGCTTCTCAGTTGGAGGAAAAAGAAAATCTTTACATCATCTTTCCTCTACTTGGATAAGTAGATAGATGCGGAGTAAACTGGAGATAGTCGAAAAACCTAGATCTTGAGACTGTATCCAGTTCTGTGTCAAGGAACAATCTTGTAGTGGTTTTGTACTAAGGAGTGATTAGCATGGTTGCAATAGGCGCTAGGCGCTAGTCGGGCGGTAGAGTATCGCCTAGCGCCTAGACGGCCTAGGCGGGGCCTAAGCGGCCTAGGCGGCTAACTGAAAAACTGAAAAACAGTGCACATGTGTAGGTGCATATATGTCATATCACACACACACACACACACACACACACACACACACACACACACACACACACACACACACACACACACACACACACACACACACACACACACACACATATATATATATATATATATATATATATATATATATATATATATATATCATATAAATGAAAAAAATTAGCAGGGTCGAGTCGGCTGGGTTAACTCGGCTAACTCGACAGAAAGTGACGAGTTAACTCGGCGTAATCGGCCGAGTTAGGCGCTAGGCGGCCGAATTAGACGCTAGGCGGGCGCCTAGGCGGCCGGTCTCCTAGGCGGGAGCCTAGGGGGGAAATCGCCACGGCCTAGGGGCGCCTAGCGCCTAGGCGCCGATTACTCGGTGCCTAGGCGGGATTTTTGCAACCCTGGTGATTAGTGCAAACCTTCACAAGTTGTGAAGAAGAGTGGATTAGGATTTGTTAACAGTCGAACCACTATAAAAATTCTCTCTCTCTCTCTCTCTCTCTCTCTCTCTCTCTACTTTCCGCACTGCATTCATATCTTCATTACATCTCTCATTGCATTCTCGATTAGCTTTCTAAGCAAGAACTTGTGTAAAGAAATATAAACAAAAAGGGGAAAACTTGTCTGCTGTGCATTTAAACTCTTAACGAGTTGTTAAGCTATCGAACTTAGCGATTCATCGTAAATTTTGAAAAATCAAACGAATCTATTCACCCCCCCTTCTAGATTCGTTCCCTCACTCTTCGGGACCAACACCAGAAGAGAACATACATGCCTTTGCTTTGGACTTCCTCAATGTCTTTTCTTTCTGTATCTTCATCTGAGCCATCGTAGGATTTGCAGGCAGTGGATTGACCTCATAGTCTTTGTCTACTGCTTGCCAAAGATCTTATGTTTCCAAGTTGACTATCATTTTAACAGCCCATGCTTGGTAATTTTCACCATCAAAGATTGGTGGTGAAATTTGGGAGAAATTGTTTTCGATATCCATTCTTGAAGAGGGTATTGTGTTTATGGATTTTTGTGTAGTGTTTTAGGTTTGTGTCTGGGTTCACTCAACTCACATGTCCCTCAAGAATAAGCTCTGATACCAATTTATTGTTTTAAAGTGAAGTAGCATAAAATTATACAGGATATAAAACAGAAAGTTGTAAGAGAAAATGCTAACTTCTTGCATTTTATTCACAGCACCATTAGAGATGACAATGGGTCGGGTGTGGGTCGGGGAGGACTACATTCATCACTCGACCCGCCTTATATTTTCTCCACCCACCCCCACCCCCAACCCGCATCGGGGGAACTTTTTCAAAACCCACCCCACCTCCACCGGGTGCGGGTGCCCACTACGGGTATCCACCACTTACTATCTTATTATTTTTTTTTCAAAAAATAATATATAAATTACTTATAATAATAAAATAATAAAATTCATTAGCCATACTAAAACATAAAATAATAGAAATATATACTAAATTGTTGATTTTTAAAAATAAACTTAGTAGTTTAGATACAAATAATAAAAAGTTACACGAAGTTATAATTTTTTTTTTATAAATAACTACATACTAGTATTTATTTTAATATTATATATATTTAGACACACACATGGTGGGTTGGGTGGGATTCTAGGCGGATTTTGTACATAGAACCCGAATCCAACCCGACCCACCGCGTTTTTTTTTTTTTTTTTTTCGACCCACCACCCACCACCACCCAAAAAAACCCGACCCGTGCGGGGTGTATTCGGGTGGATATCCACGGGGCAGATTGAAATTACCATCCCTAAGCAGCATGGCTCTTTATATAGAACAAAAAGTGTACCAAAAACACATAAAATTCTGATTTATTGAAAGATCCTATTATTAAGCCATAAAGAGATAATATCTCCTAAAGACTTGGTCTGTTAACTGACTAGTAACTAACTGACTTACTAAGGCACATAATCAATAGATTCCTTCAATTCTTTCCCGTACACGTTCCTTCCTGTGGAATATGTTTCCAAAAGAAGTTCTATTCCATTGATCCAGCATCTTGGCTAGCGTATTTTTATTAATTTCTATATCCTTATTCAAATCCCAATTCTGTGCCACATTCTGGAAATTGGGGTGAGTGATCTAAGATGTTGAGCATAATAAATATATATAAACATAAATGTGCAATCCAACTATCAGCTTAGATTTTTAGTTGAGATGGAGCACATGCTTCAATTTGGTATTAGAGCCATGTCAAAGGTCATGTGTTCGAATCTAAAAAGAGACTACGGTCCACGTGTTGCTTGGAGCCCATTAAAAAATAATCGACCCGCACATGTGAGGGGTGAGCATAAAATATATATAAACATAAATGTGCAATCAATCTCCTACTTAGACTACATAGTCATGCCGCACTTTGACAGTTCCAAATGAGGTTGATCATAAACTTCTTGCCATCCACTTCCATGGCATGATTGGGGTAAGACGAATTGCAACGGAATTAGTTAGTCCCATTGTCTGGTGGGTCTTTATGATTGGGGACGTCGAGCTCGTCCAACAGTGGTGGCCCTAAGGGGGGTTCATTGTGTTGAATCACTGTTCTAGTTATTACATGCCCTCTACCTGATCCACGTACCATAGTGTGCTAAGACCGCTACGTTTCTCGAAAGGCCACTTCTATAGCCCCTGCCTCTAGAGTTTCCTTGTACCGGGTAATATGGTCGTGCTGGGGAGGACATGTAGTTGTTCTAGGTGCTTCCCTCTCTGTTGGTTTGTCTTTCATCTGTCTTGGGAGGGGAGGGGGGAGGGGGCTCCACTCTACTCCTCCCTTTGTAGGTTGAGACACGTAGCTCTGGTTGATCAACGTCCGACTGCTGTTCTGGCATATCCAGGTGCTGCCCATTGTCCATCATGTTTTCCAACATAGCGAAGCGGAAGGATGTTTCATGCATATGCATGTTGGTCAAACCATTTGTTTCTCGGATTATGTTATTCTCATTCGAATGGAGTTGTCCTCCCCGTTGGTAATTCCTTCTCGACCTTCTACTTTCCTTGCGGGTAACTAACATCCATGGGCCATATTGTTCCTGTAACACCCCGCAATTTACCCTTTGGATCCGAATTAATTATTTAATTAATTCATAAGTTTCTCTATGATTATCTTAATGATTTTCGTTAAGTGTGGGTAAAAGGATTTAATTTGGGCCAAAATCCCTTAATTAATTGATATGGTCCATGGTGGACCGTGGACCCTTGTCTATATTAAAACCTTTAAGCCTGTCAGAATAAAGAAGAAGGGCCCAATCCTATTCATATTTTCATTAGGAATCCTACACATATTTAAAGGGGACTAGAAAGCATGTAGAACCCTTTCCGCCCTCTCACTCGAAAATTCCCTCCCAAAACCTAGTCAGAGAATTTCCCATCACCAAGCCTATGAGAGATCTTTTGAAAGAAGACCTTGAGGAAAGATCTTAGGAGTTGTGAGAAGTCTAATTAAGCAAAAAGGTAACCCATGTCTTACAAAACCTATTTTTCTTGCTATGTTATGATTTATTGGAGTCCTTGAATGATGAATGCGTTATCTTGTGATATGCCTTGTTAGAGCTTGTATGTAGGGCTTATATTGTGATCTCTTGATGTTCTTGATGTTCTTGGTAATCTTGGGGTAATTGGGTACATGTTCTCGTGTCTATACGTATTTAGAGCTGGTATTTAGGGTTCGTTTCATGGTTTCTTAATGGTCTTGACGTTCTTGATAATCTTGGGGCAATTATATGCATGACCTTGTGTTTAAGCATGTTTATAGCTTGTGTTTAGGGTCCCATAATGTTGTTCATTGAGTCATTCTATGTGTTCAAGTCCCTATTATTGTTGATATGTGTTTTGGGTGGGTTTGGACTTAAACTTGGGTAAAATTGATGAATTCCCGAATGAGGAAAAATGCCAAGAGGAGATGTTCCAGCGGGTAGTCGGTGGTGGGACGAACCCCCACCCGACCACCCGCCGGAATGGCGTGATGTTCCAGCAGGAGGCTGGCGGGTGGATGACACGATAACGACACTATAACGACACAAACACGATAAGAATAAACACGGACACAACACGTTAAGGTTAATGGGTTGAAATTCTTAACACGAACACGAACACGATTCGTAAACGGGTTGACACGATAGACACGTTTTGTTAATAGGTTTCGGGTCGTGTCGACATGATATGACACGAAACCCGTTTAAACCCACTAAACTTATTATCTATAATAATTTGAAGTAAAGTTATATATATTAAAGAAAAGGAAATAGAACCTTCAATTTAATCCATCAAACAACTGAAAAAAATATTCAACTCATTTATAAAAGATGAAATAATATCCAAATGTTGAATAAAATAATAAGTAAGGAGAAGAAGGAATAGAGAATGGAGAGGGAAGGCTGATCTATTTCATTCTAAGGGATACAACATATATATATATATATATATATATATATATATATATATATATATATATATATATATATATATATATATATATATATATATATATATATATATAATATATATATATATATATATATATATATATATATATATATATAATATACTAGTATTAATAACAGTAATAATGCTGGCTGTTACAAACGTTATAACCATTACAATATGTCCACACTTAATATCATTTATAACACTCCCCCTTGGACATTATTTGGCCACGACCTTGCCTCGTTAAAAACTTGTTAGGAAAATCCGGTGGGAAAAACCTAGACAAGAAAAGAGTACAATAGAAAATATATTCATGCCTCATTAAAAACTTCACTAGGAAAACCACGTGGGAAAAACCTAGTTGAAGAAAAGAGTACATGATATATGTAAAAACATATATTGTATTTGGTCGCCTCATTAAAAACCTTAACTTAAGAAAACCCTGTGGGAAAAACTTAGTTAAGGGAAAAAGAGTACAACCATAAGCCGTCAGGGCGCAAACCGCATAATCTTCAGGATTTTGGGGTTTGTCCATTTAAGCAATTATTTTGCAACTTTTCCTCATTGTCATTACTATATCATACTGATGCCTCGTTAAAAACCACACTAGAAAACCCAATGGGAGAAAACTAGTGAGGAAAAGAGTACATGATATTTATGTATTTATGCGTTGCAAATAGTGCGCAACTGTTAGTCTTTTATGACTTAATCTTCAGGATTTTACGTTCAATCTTCCGGATTGATTCAAGTAAATGTACTTCCCGTTGTGTTGCAAATAGTGCACAACTGTTAGTCTTTTATGACTTAATCTTCAGGATTTTACGTTCAATCTTCCGGATTGATTCAAGTAAATGTTCTTCCCATTGTGTTGCAAATAGTGCGCAATTGTTAGTCTTTTATGACTTAATCTTCAGGATTTTATGTTCAATCTTCCGGATTGATTCGAGTAAATCTACTTCCCGTCTCCTCCTGAAGATAACAATCTTCAAGTTTTACATATATTTCAAAATTTGAAGAGATGGATTGGACAAATCTTCCGGATTGTCACTAGAGTAGTGTACAATAATCTTATGGCTCTTCTAGAGCTCATATAACATTTGTGCAACACAAGAGTTATTGTCCTCATTTTGAACATTTAGGGAAATTCATTGTATAACCAGTTTGGACTTGGCATTGCGGGGATCAAACAAAACAGCCAGTACCCAAGTAGCCTATTAAAACCGTATCATGGTTTCTTACATAAATGTCATGTCTTTGTATCTCGAAGATACCGGAGGATATGTTAATCATTATTCAAGTACTTCATTTTTAGGGGGAGCACTAAATTTTGTTAGCAATTTCATCGCAAATATGTTGCGATAATGGAACTTCTGGTTCTATAATGGTGCTCCAACGATAATGAAGTAAGGGACTTCGAGTCCAAAAAGGTTCCTTATCTGCTTCAAGAGATTATTAGGCAACCTTTAGTTTGATAAAAACATGACACTTATATGCATATAGACACGTGAAAAAGTATTTTTAGATGTAGGCTGACTGGTGTATATATAAAAAAATCTTCAAAGAAAAGCTCGATCTTCAAGTCGAGATAATACTTATAGCTTTCACAAACTTTTTATTTCAAAAGTCTCAGTCTTTAAACATGAACTGACATTATCAAGCTCTTTATATATTTCATTGATGTTTACACCATCAATCTTGACTGAGATAATAAATAATAAATAAGTTCATTATCAACCCTTTATCGAGCACACAATGGTACATATTATTCCTTCAACGAGGATATTAACTCCATTCGCAACCCTTTAAAGAGTAAATAATGACACATAATAATACTTAAATAAATCCTTATTTCGAGAATTATGAATCCATCCAGGATTTCTCAAAATAAATTTAACTGCATATCTAAATTTATTATTCTGCTAATTGTATTATGTAGCGGAACTTAATGCCATTTACCGTGGGAGAGTATATTTGATTAAAATCAATTAAGGGTCTCTGCGTGAACCCATAGGCTACAAATTCACTTCATATCTTATCACCTTGTTATTCTTACTTCTCTTTCATGCACACACCCATTTGTAACCTTTAGGGTTAACGCTTAATGGTGTATTGTTATAAATAGAATTTATTCATTTTAGCGAGTCGAGCTATATATGCCTTAATTGCTCCTTTATATATTAAATAGTCATGGCATTTCTGGTGCCTAACTCTGGATCCAGATTATCATATAACGAGCAATTTGTAATGGCAATTGTGTTGTCGACAACTATAACCTTTTTATAAAACTCCCATATTTGTAAAAGTAATGGCAATTTCTAAAACAACCAGATTCTAGACATTTCCCAAAGATATTTTGATCTGGTCGTTCCGCATCCCTAGTATTACGTTTGTTTGGTGCACCTATAAATTTTACTAGGTTTTTCGTCATTTGGATGAACGTCTGCAGGACATAATTGTTCAAGCTATTTCAAGAGTGACAATATTTCTTTACTAGATCTAGTATTATGATCCATATCTCTTTCACCGATAGATCTCCTACACTTCTAGTGTCAAGGAGTATCGATAGATATGTTTGGTCCAAGGATATAGGACCTAGTCACTTCTTTTATGATCATTATGATCAATAGATGTTTTTGGCAGATTATTTGCTAAAATCGCAAATAGATTATCTTTTGAACTTCCAGTTCAATCTAACTAGTACATGGATTTAAATAATGCTAGTACATGGATTTAAATAATGCTAGTACATGGATTTAAATAATGAAGATGTTTTTATTCTTATGAAATTTCTTGGCATTCCATTAAAAACTACGGAGTAGTATATTATCTCCCCCTAATGCCGAGAAACAATCTTCATTAGGAATGTCGTCAACGTACCCGATTATATGTATTGATCCCCTATCATGGGCTTTCGGTATTTAATCAATAGACGGAGGTTTCTTTGATAGCCCTTTTAGAGGTATGTTGTGGTGGTGATATAAAAGAGACTGCGTAAATAAAATAACGTAGATAGGGAAATGTTACTTCTGAAACCACGTACTAGGTGAAAAAGGGGGTATAGCAATCCTTGAGGGATTGATTTGTGATATGCATTGAGTTAGACTTGGGTAAAAATAACTTGACTCATAGTAACGTCATAACAATCCTTCAGGGATTGATGGGATAGGTGGACCATTTTTGGTCAAGAGTTTATCGTCAAGGTTCATCCTAAAGGGTGACTCATAGAATTAAAGTCCTTAATCTACCTTCTGGGCAAATAAATATAGAAAAAATGGAGGCTATAAACTTAAATATCATATGCCCAAATCTCATGTCAAAGAGTTTCTATAGCAGAAACTAGCACTGTAAACATGTCATAGCCTTTAATTGTTATCATATGCAAGCTAAGGTTTAGTAACGACAGGTGCAACCTAACCATATTGAGAATTCATGCTATTTTCCCACTTATAAGTTGGGTGATAAATCTCAATAGCTATGACCTATAGCAAATCATAAATTGCCAACAAGAGAAATAACAAAATCTCTTATATGAACATAATCAAGAGATTATATGCTAAATGATCTCAATTAAAGAGAAAGCACATGTAATATGTGATATATTTGTCCCTTATGTGTTGGACACCCCAAAACTCAATTTAGTCATGCACATCCATTAAATAAAGAGTACATGTTTGGTACACACAAGGCATGACATGATAAGATATATTCTTATTAATTCATAAATTAGAAAAATGAGAGAAGTACCGTTCGCCGAAGAATAATAAGCAGATGTTTGCTGCTGGGCCCATTCATTCTTATTTCATCGAATTATCTTCCTAATTAATTTGTTTATAAGTTACATAGAAATTATAGGGACTAATCCTACTTCTAGAAATCTAAACCCACCGGTACATTGCATATTAAGTTTAGACGCGAAAGACAATCTGAGTAAGACCGAGAGAAATCCGAGGAACCTAAACCAAGTGGTCATCTAGAAATTATCCTTGGAAAAATTATATTGCGTCCCCAAACTATCTTAAAACTATCCCTCTAGACTTTGGTCCATGTTGCATAATAGACCACAAGCTTCCAATGCCTTGTTTGGAACCCTTGACCTCTAAAATAAGGACCCCCTAAAACAAACCCTTATACACAAATAGGTACATCACTACTACTCTAAATATATTCCCCCAAACTTCTATTATATATATATATATATATATATATATATATATATATATATATATATATATATATATATATATATATATATATATTGTTAGGAAATAAAATTTGGTGCCTCAAATCCATGACACCACCATGCAGCAATCCCCACGTATTCCATCATCCACGGAGCTACTACTGCGGCATTTCTCCCACTTACATGCATGTTTATCTCTTTTTGAATGTATAAATAGTTTAGGATGTTGCTTTGTATTAACACATCAATTCAATACATCATTTTGAATTCATTCTCTTTCTTTCTTTTTCCTTCACGTAGAGTATATATATATATATATATATATATATATATTTTTTTTTTTTCTTTTATTTCTCTTTGTAGAGATTAATATATATATATATATATATATATATATATATATATATATATATATATATATATATATATATATATATATTTCATATTTTCCCATTTTATGTTATATTTATTTGTCATTTATTATATTCTCCCTATTATTTAACTTCTATAATTCTCAATTTTCGATTCTTCGCTTCCGCATTATTCCACTATATTCCTAACAAGTGGTATCAGAGCGGTTTAATTGAGAATTATTTTCAAAGATGTCAACTGTTACTAAGTTCGATATCGAGAAGTTCGACGGGAAAATTAGCTTTTATATCTGGAAGGTTCAGAAGGAAGCCGTTTTAACCCAGAACGGTTTGAAGAAAGCTCTAGCTGGGAAGAAGAAGAAACCAGCTACAATGATAGATGAAGGTTGGGAAGATTTGGATGACAAGGCACGTTCAACCATTCTTTTGTGCCTGTCTAAAGAGGTTCTACGTGAGGTGGTAAGTGAGACGACTGCGTCAGATTTATGGTCCAAGCTGGATACGCTTTACATGGCCAAAACTCTGGCGAACACGCTGCCTCTGAAGGAGTGTCTGTACACAATCCGTATGACGGAAGATACTTCTATTAAATCTCACTTGGATGAATTCAATTCTATTTTATTGGACTTGGAAAATATTGATGTCATAATTGAAGATGAGGATCGCGCTGTTTTATTGCTTGTCTCTCTCCCTAGATCATACACGCATTTCAAAGAAATTATGTTGTATGGTAATAGTAGTGATACCCTTACTTTTGACAATGTTAAGTCAAACCTGTTGTCCAAAGGAAAGTTTGACTTTGAAATTAAGTCTGAGGACAAAGGTGAAGGCTTGACTGTAAGGGGTCGTTCACTTGAAACAGAGAGTAGCAATAAAAAATCTAGATCCAAGTCCAAAGGACGAAAGTCCAACAAATCCTGTAAGTACTGCAAGAAGCATGTTCATGATGTGACTGAATGCTTTAAGTTGAAAAACAAGCAAGAGAGAGAAAAGAAGTCTGCTGAAGCTAGTGTTGTTGAAAGTGATTCAGAAGGCGATGTTATGTTATCTGTTAGCTCCGGTTGCAAACGGAGCGAAACCGAGTGGATTCTGGACTCTGGTTGTACATTCCACATGTGTCCTCACAAAGACTGGTTCGTCTCTCTGGAACCGGTTGATGGTGATGTTGTCTTGCTGGGTAATGATACCCAATGCAAGGTTAGTGGAATTGGAAGTGTTCAGATTAAAACTCATGATAATGTTATCAGGACTCTTACCAATGTTCAGTATATTCCTGATTTGAAACGCAATATGATATCGTTGGGCACCTTGGAATCTTTGGGGTGCAAGTACATAGCTGAAGGTGGAGTTCTGAAGGTTATAAAAGGCTCCCTTGTTCTCATTAAAGCTTCTCGTTCTGGAAGCTTATACGTCTTGCAGGGCAGTACTGTGACAGGTTCAGTAGCGATATCCTCATCGATGTCTGATGCGGATCTCACTCAATTGTGGCATATGCGTCTGGGGCATATGAGTGAGAAAGGCATGCATATCCTGAGCAAGAAAGGCCTCCTTGGTGGTTCAGGTACGGGTAAATTACAATTTTGTGAGCATTGTGTTTTTGGGAAACAAAAGAGGGTTAGTTTCTCTACTGCTACATACCGTACCAAAGATGTATTGGAATACATACATTCCGATTTATGGGGACCAACTAAATTCCAGTCTATGGGAGGCTGTAGATATTTTATGTCTATTATTGATGACTTTTCTCGTAAAGTCTGGGTCTATTTACTGAAACATAAAAATCAAGCATTTTCTATTTTCAAGACGTGGAAAATACTTGTTGAGACTCAGACAGGTAAAAAAGTCAAGAAACTCAGGACAGACAATGGCTTGGAGTTCTGTGAGTCAGATTTCAATGACTTTTGTGTGGCAAATAGAATCGCCAGGCACAAGACCTTGCCTGGTAAACCCCAGCAGAATGGTGTTGACGAAAGTTTGAACAGAATTCTATTGGAAAGAGCTCGTTGTATGCTCTCTAATGCTGGGTTATGGAAACGACGTGATTTTTGGGCCGAGGCCGTTTCTACTTCATGCTATTTGGTAAATAGATCTCCACATTCATCCCTTGATTTCAAAATTCTAGAGGAAGTTTGGTCAGGTAATCCTGTTGGTTACTCTATCTTAAGAGGTTTTGGATGTCCTGCTTATGCTCATTCCAGTACGGGTAAATTAAACCCTCGAGCTGTCAAATGCATTTTCCTTGGTTATGCCTCTGAGTCAAAAGGGTATCGTCTATGGTCTCCTGATTCTCATAAAATCATTCTGAGTCGAGATATCACTTTTGATGAAAATGCACTACTTTCTTCTGGAAAAGTTCCCAGTACAGGTGAGACGCAGAGTACTGGTGAAAAGGTGGAGTTTGAGTTCAGGCCTATTAATAGTATTACTACCACTGGTGGTAATACTAAAGATGATGCATCTACTAGCATCGCACCTCTCGTCGAGCCACAACGAGAGTATTCCATTGCTATGGATCGTCATAGGAGGACAATTAAAAAACCTGCTAGGTATGCTAGTGATGATGAAACCAACATGGTTGCTTATGCTCTTTCAGTTGCATGGGAAGTTGATGGTGATCCAAATAAAATTTGGTGCCTCAAATCCATGACACCACCATGCAGCAATCCCCACGTATTCCATCATCCACGGAGCTACTACTGCGGCATTTCCCCCACTTACATGCATGTTTATCTCTTTTTGAATGTATAAATAGTTTAGGATGTTGCTTTGTATTAACACATCAATTCAATACATCATTTTGAATTCATTCTCTTTCTTTCTTTTTCCTTCACGTAGAGTATATATATATATTTTTCTTTTATTTCTCTTTGTAGAGATTAATATATATATATATATATATATATATATATATATATATATATATATATATATATATATATATATATATTTCATATTTTCCCATTTTATGTTATATTTATTTGTCATTTATTATATTCTCCCTATTATTTAACTTCTATAATTCTCAATAATATATGATAAATGACAAATAAATATAACATAAAATGGGAAATATGAAATATATATATA